AAACATTAAATATGTCACAAACCAAAAAATCCAGTTTAATAACAAGAGAGAAAAGATATAGGAAAAGTGGATGCAGAATGGTGATATTGTAATTTAGGGATTTTCCAGCACTATTTTCTACTGTATACACTACTTCCATGGCTTTTCTCACAATGGGGTCATCCATTCCCTAGCTGAACATCTCTTAAAATGCATCCTTCAATATGCTCCTAAAAAAATTCCTGTGGCCCGGCTGAGTGAATATATACATTGATTGCTATTTATTCTTCTTGAATATACACAGTCTATATTACAACCTTAAAGACTTTAAATCTTGCTGTCAAAATAAAATCCACTTTAATATTGTTCCAAATGCTTACCTGGCCATGCAACTCTTTCCTCATATAAATATCTATTTAATATCCTTCAGAGCTGGTATTCCTCAGGGTCCGCTTTGGGAAACTCCAATCTATTTAACCTGTATGTCCTTCACAGCCTACAAAACTCCCATTGCAGAGTGTGCCAGGGCACACTATTCTTTTCTATTTGCTCCCTACCCCAGTCTCTAAAGTCTCTTCTTTCTGTTCCTTTCTGTTTTAGTTTAGGGCACATGAGTGCCTAGTGGTAGGCTAAATTCCCCATCATCACAGACACCTTGGCTACTAGTTCTCTTATCTAAATCCTCCTTTGTCAATAATGCCCTCAGAGTAGTCCAGCTTTTCTGCCCCCTCTAAGTTAAAAAAAAAAAAAAAACAGCTGGGAGACCTTGTAAGAGACAAACATTTGCACAGGAAGGACTTTGTCACCATGAGCATCTGCAAGCAGGCAGCATGATTCAGAACCTCTGCTTGGGTAGGACAGTGAAGCCGACTTTCCACGGGATCTCTATGAGTTGAATTGTGTGTCTTGCAAATGTATATGTTAAATTCCTATGACCAGAAGATATAGCAAATATAAGGATTAAGTAAAAACAAAGTCATAGAGGAGCAAGCAGGCCCTGTAACCCCAGAGGACTGGTGTCTCTTTAAAGAAGGGAAATGTGGACACATGCGTACAGGGAGGACACTATGTGAAGACTGGAGTCAGGCTGCCACCAGCCAAGGGACTCCCAGTGGCCAGTAGTGAGGCATGGGGCAGATCTTTTTGCCATGCTTTCAGAGGAAGGACAGCCTTGCCAAGACCTTGATTACAGACTTTCAGCTTCCAAAGTGTGAGAGGATGGATTTCTGTTGTTTAAGCCACTTAGCTTGTGATACTTTGTTACAACAGCACTAACAAACGCATGCGGAGTGAAGCCTCCATCTATTGTTCGAGCTTGATTTCACCAGGAGTGTGTGAAAGACACTGGCATCCCTCAGTTCCAGGCTTACCCTTTGCTGGGATCTAGTCATTCTCATGATGCCTTGATGGCTATGTGGATGGATTCAAGGCTTTTCTCTTGGCTGGGGTGTTTATATCCTATCCTCTTCTCGACTTTAACTATGTCCCTGACCTCTATGCTCTCCTGTCCAGTGGGAATGGCATGCCCAGTTTCCCTCCCAGTTCTCTGGGCTCACTACTGAGCCCTGACAAAGCAGGAGGGTGCAGCAGGGCCAGGAACGTGCCCTTCAGAGGAACATGTCAAGCTGTGCCCAGAGGCAGGACATGGGCACTGGCCCCCTTAGAGATGAAGAGCCCTCCAGGCATTTCCTCGATGCCCAGTCAGGCCAGACCACCTGCGTTGTGGTCTGTGGCTCTGAAGACCCAGCTGCCTCTGTGCAACCTGGCAGAATTGCTGTACTTGGTAGCATTGAATGCACCGGGGTTTCTCGATCTCAGCACCACTCACACAGGGGCCAGTGAAGTTCTTTACTGCAGAGCTGTCCCCTGCCTTCAGGATATTCAGGAGCACACTGACCTCTGCCCACTGGATGCCAACAGCAACCTCCCTCCTTCAAATTATGACCATGAAGCATGTCTTCAGACATTGTTAAATATTCTCCAAGGGTAGGAGACAAAATCATACACAGTTGAAACCTCTTTATTCTAAGATCCTTACAATTTGAGGTCATTTTGTGATTTCAATGCCTCTAGGTTTGTGAAAATCTATTTACTATTTCCTGGTCTGTATTAGAAAAGCTCATACAGAACAAAAAAAGGCTTGAAGAGTTCGTCGTAGTTGTCTGTCAATTCTGGGATACAAATGTGAGGGGTATTGTCTTTTCTTTCCTGTTTTTCTGATTTTTCTTTCATTTGTGGCTAAAAACTTTAACTGATGACTTGGACATTTTCAAGTTAAATAATAAGGTCCTATTACACATGGGATAAAAATTCTTATCAGAGGAAGATGATAAATGAGAAAGCATGATTTGAATCCTAGCCACAAGCATGCTGTTAATATCTACTTGCTAGACGGACCCAAGACTAAATGTGAAAAGATTTGTAAAGCATCTAGAATAGGGGTTTCATAAACGGTGGTTCACATAATTACTGTGTTCCCCCCAGTTCAAGACTCTGGGCCCTCTTATCAGGAGCCCAGCCAAGAGTCTAGATGGTCTGTCTTAAAAGTACAACAAGAAAAACAAAAGACAGAGACAAGTATAGTACTGCATCAGCGGCTGGGAAGTCAATATTTATGGATGGGTCCTCCTCCACTCCCAAAGCGGCCACGATTCATTAGGTGCATACAGTGATAGGTGGGCCTAGCAAAGGATTACAATCTGGCAAAAGACTCCGCCTCAAGAGGATATAGATGATCATATGCTAAAAGGATCTTGTACTGGAGTATAATCCTGGGATGATTCAAGGTATAGATGAATCCTCGGATATAGCTCAGTGGACATATGTGTCTGCCTGGCAAGTGCAAGGTCCTCAGTTCAATCGATGGTTTAAAAAAAAAAAGGCATAGATGATCTTATGCTAAGAAAGGTCAATGGGAAATCTCAGAGGAGTGGTACCAATAATCCCGAACCTCCATTTTACCCCATAGTGAAGTATGCAAAATTAGCCATTGTGAGTTTGTGGTCCCCAAGACTCTCCTTCATCCTGTGCCTGCTGGCGATGACCACAGAGTCACCAACATGACCCTGGAAGGTCCAATAGGGCTTCCCTTGGTAGGGGGTTCTTTTCTCCTCTCTAAGGAGAGACTCCTCTAGGAGAGTAATGGCAGTAATCATTTACTTTTCACATATGGCCTTTCTTCTCAAGTGCCTATTGTTAGGTCTGAGAAGAAGGGAGAGGAGGAGAAGAGAGGGAGAGAGGTGGAGGTAGAGGTCCGTGGTAGGAGTGGAGTGGACGGCCGTGAAAGTAGTGGGCAGCGGTGGCTTTATTTCGGGAATGCGGGGAGAGGACCCCCCCGCCAGCCCCGGGCGCAGCCTCTCCACTGCACCCGGGCTGTGGTTAACACGGGGAGAGGAGACTGGCGCACTGGCTGCTGGAATCTGGCGATCTCTCTCTCTCTGGCGATCTCTCTCTGGCGATCTCTCTCAGACACGTGGCATGGGGGAATCTAAATAGCCTAAGCTTAGGGCAGTGCCCTAAGGCCATTAGAGATGTACCGGTATCTCATTGGCGCACAGGTTTAGCGCCAGAAAGCAGGTTCCTAGGGAGGGGGTGTAGGGTTACAGTCAAGTGTATAGGGGGCAGGGGGAGGCAGGAGTTTTCCTGGTTACAGTGTCCAGTCTGGCCAGCAACTCTTTCATATCCCGTCTTATGATATTAGGAAAAGGGGCGAAGATTTCTCTCTGTAACTACTTCCTGCTAGCTGAGGGCGCTGTATTGGGGTCTAGGGGAATTTGACGGGATGAAGGTTGATGCCCAGGTAGATACTGATGCCAGGTGTTTTAGCCAGGACAACTTCACTGGTGAATGTGCCTATGAAGTAGGAAATAGATTCCCTTTTCAGAGATAAAGCATCAGAAGCAGAGAAGTTATGCAACTTTGCCAAGGCATTATAGTCTCCCAGGAGTCATCAAAGAGTCTAACTGCTTCCACCTGTCCTCCCTCCATCTGTGATAAAACTGAAGCTCAGAGATCTGGATACCCAGCAAACAAAGCCATGAGTAAGTGCCAGACTTAGTGTCGGGTGAAATGTTCACAAAACAAGCGTGGACACCTCCTGTCTCAAAGGAAGAGAGAGTGCTGACGTTTCAGTAGTTAGTGAGTTAGGGATCAGGGTAATTTAAAGAATAAATCTGGAGTCAGCCAGCCTAAGCTTCTACTCTGTCTCCATCTCTCACCTCAGCTGTGTTATCCTGAATAATTACACTGCCTGGGCTTCCATTCCCTCATCTCTAAGAAGAAAATAATAGTATGTTTTAGTATAAATTAATTAACCTCCATAGGCACTAAGAACATACAGAGCACTCAATAAACTTTCGGCGCTACTAATCTTTGCACAAAGAGCTACCAAGAAATCAGGCAAAGACTAATCGTGTGTATGTGCATATGTTACTGGGGATTGAACCCAGGGCCTTCAGCTTGAGCTACATTCCCTCCACTTTTTAAAATTTTATTTTGAGACAGGTTCTCATTAAGTCACTAAACTGGGGCTGGGCTTGAATTTGTAATCTTTTTGCCTCAGCCTCCCCGAGTGCTGGGATAACAGGCGTGTGACACCACACATTAGGCTGATATATTTTGTTTCATTCCTTGAAAGAAGGTATTCTTTTCTCAGGATTTGAAGTGGATAATTATCTTCATGAGAAATTTGGAAAAGATAAATATCATACAAAGGGAACAACAGCAATCACCCATAACAATAACTGATTTTTAAAATACAACAAAATACATTTTATTTTGGGAAGTTTCAAATATACATGAGATTATAAAGGAATAGTGTTGGGAATCTCATGTTCCTTTATCACTAGCTCCTAGGCAGTCTCATTTCATTCATAACTCTTTGCTTCTCTTTAACTCCCACTTTCAATTTGTTCTTTTGGAGTAAATCCTAGATGATGTATAATTTCATCTCTAAATATTTCAGTATGTATCTCTGAAATATATAGAGTCCCTCTTTTTTAATTATCACACCAGTTTCACACTTTAAAAATTAACAATAAATATTTAATATCATCATATTACCAGCAGCCAAATTTCCCCTAGGTATCACATAAATGTTACAATTTGTTTGAGTCAGGATCCAAATTGCATGCACATGTTGGGTTGGCTAAAGTTTCTTAAATTTCTTTTAATGTATAGATTTCCCCTCCATCTCTTCTTTCCCAGCAAATCCATTTGTTTAGGAGGCCGGTTCATTTGTCCTACAGAGTTTCCGTACTCTGGATTTCGCTGATTGCATACCTCTGGTATTATTTAGCATTTTCCTCTGAACTGTATTTCTTGTAAATCAGTAGTTCTAGAGACTTGGTCATATTCAAGTTTGATTTTGTGCCAAGAATATATGATGGATGGTATGATAGACTTCCACTGGGAAACACATGATGTCTGTCTCTTGTCCTCTGTTTGAGAAGTAAGCCCTCTTCAATGATTATAGCAGACCCACAGATTTTGTTAGGGTTTAAAAAGTGATATTCTATACCTATTAGAACTTTTCATTTATTAGCTAAAATTTTCTACAAAGGGATATGCATCTTTATCATGACATGTAACTCATGTGGGAAAACCAGTACGAATGCTTGACTCTTTGTGTCCAGGTTTCAAAATACAGATTCCAGACTGGGAGTACATGGCTCAGGAGTAATTGCTCGCCTGACTTGTACAAGGCCCTGGGTTCATCTCCAGAACCATTAAAATAAAACCAAAATAATAATCCTTGATATTTTCTAGAGATGACCTGTGAATTTTGTTGTTTTGTTTTGGTAGCGTTACCAGCCGGGATTTACACTAACTCAGTATAAACATATTTACATTTGTCGTTGCAGTTGCTCTTCTTGTTAATGCTCGCATTATCTAAAGCTTTACTCCTTTCTCTTCGCTTCTTCTTCAATGATTAAACAACACTGAGACCACTTGATCCTTAAAGATTTGATAGCATTTCCTCCCATGAAACCTTTTGAGCCAGTGCTTTTTTGTGTGAGGGAGTTTTTGCTTAACTTTATTTCTTCTGTGATAATTGGTCTTTTAGAACTGAGTCTCTACTAAGACCAATTTTGGTAGGCTGTATTATTGTAGAAAACTATCCTCTTCATCTAGGTTTTCAAATAGTTTTGTGTAGAGTTGAGAAAAACAGTCTCTTATGTTTTTATTTTAGTTCCTCTGCTTTGGTTTCACTCACCAGTGGCCAGTGTTCCTAATTCTGTGTGTCTGTATTTTCTCCCCTGTATTTTCCTGATGGTTATTTGTGTACTTTTTTGATTGTTTCAGTCGATTGTTTCAGGTTAATTACTAGTTCGGTTAACTAATTTATTATTTTTGCTTCCATCTTTATAATTAATTCCTACTAAATTCCTTTAGCTTACTGAAGAAAGAAGCTTTCAGGATCTTGCTTTCTGAATAGAAGGTAGAGTTCATTTGTCTTTAGTTTTATTGACATAGATATTTAACATTGAATATTTTTCTCTATTAATTACTTTAGCTGAATAGTGTAGACTTACTTGTCATTTATTGTTATTTTCACAAAATTCTGTATATTGCACTTCTAATTCTTAAGAACTGTTTTTTAACTTATTTTGAAAATTTTCAGAGATGATATCCTTTTTTATTTTATTAAAAATTATTAGTTTTATTACATTATGATCAGAAAATATTCTTCAATTCTTTAGAATTTATTGAAGTTTTCTTTGTGGCTGAAGATGTAGTCATTTGAAAAAAAAAGTGTTTTCTCTACTATGAGATTCAGATTTCTCTGTAGATGTGTAGGATCCACCTTGTTGGTTATGACTTTGGCTTTCTGTGTCCTTCCTGCACACTTGATCAGTCTTCAGAGAGATCCATTAAAATCTCTTATTACTAATGGTTTTCTGTTTTTCTTATGTTCCCAGTTGTTTTTTGCATAAACACTAATAACAGGTTTACCTTCATTGTGACTTATGGCCTTTCACGTTCTAAAGTCTCCTTCTTTGTCTTATTTAGTGCTTTTTGGTTTGAGTTTCATCTGTTTAAACATCAAAATTGCAACTCTTAAAACTTAGTTTGAAATTAGCTTGATAGCTGTCTACTGCTTTATTTTTAACCTTTCAGAATCTCCTGTTTTAGAAGTGTTTCTTATGTAAAAAGGAGTGTTGAATTTTGCTGTTAGCCATTTGCAAATCTTTTTTGGTGAATCCTTTTTTAGTAATAAGTGTAAATTAAATTCATTTACATTTACTGATATGATTAACCTTGACTATGTCATTTTATCTTATGACTAACTTTTAATATAATATTTTATCCTTGAAATGCTCCTTCCAAGCCTTGTAATCCCTTTACTGGGCAAAGTTCCACATGATTCACTTTGGTTTCCACCATTCTTCATGCTGTTTTGATGCTCTTTCTAGTTCTCACTGATCATATATCCATCTTGTGATCCCAACGCTTGGAAACCTCGGGCTGTTAAATCACTTAGAGAAGGAGTTGTTTAGAGAGACTCAGCCAGGCTTACTTGACATAGGAATGAACTCAGAGTTTGGAAATTAAGAGACAAAGGGTGTTAGGAAAAGAGAGAAATGTTTCTGGGAGCGTTTCCCCCTACTTAATGAATTACTGGGAGATTTGTGGCTGTGCAGCCTGTCTGGGGAAGTTTTTCAGCATGTGGACCCAGAGGTGTCCCGGGCTTACTCCGCTGTGTCCTCACTGCCCTTTCCATGAACTGTGACACTTCCTGTCACCAGTTTATTTTCGCTTCTCTCCTGGCAGCGGTCCACTGCAAGCAGCACACATTTGAAATCATTTGCTACTTACTTGAGAATTCACTCTACAGAGAAAGGGAAGAAAATAGCCATTTTTAGGGACAACACATCGTCATGAATTTGAAAGAGAAGTCAACCTTGAAGAAAGCTATTTCCACTATTTTTTGTTCCCCCAAAGAACTACAGATTAGGAGACCCATATAACACCAAACAAACACAGAGCAGAAGGGAAAGGACAGGGTGCTTTCACGAGGCTGCAGCCCCGTCGCCACAGACAGCTCAGCAGCTGTCCTCCCTCCCAGGTCTGCTGCAGGGCTCAGCCCCTGGCTCACCAACCGTCGGTAGTAGCTACTCATGCTGGAGGTTTTCTTAGGATTTTTCTGGAGAACTTCGGTTTGCTCTCAGATCCCTGGGTTTTATTGTTTGTACACTAAATACACAGTAAGTTGAAACCAGAAGAAGAAACCTGAAAGAAAGGCAATATGGTCACAGCAAGGATATTTGTTCAAATAATCTTGGACTCAAACTGTAGTTCTGAAAACTTTCAGTGAGTTCTCTGTGAGCCTCACTTTCCCCCACTTAAACAATTGAAACTATAATGTCACACAGGATGTGTTAGTCAGTTTTTCTTTGATATGACAAAATACCTGGGAAAAATAATTTAAAGAGGAAAGGTTTGTTTTGGCTATGGTTTCAATCCATGATCAGCTGGTTCCATTGCTGTGGGCCTAAGGGGTGAGTGGAAGGGCTGTCTACCTCGGGGCAGCTGGGAAGCAGGAGAGAAGGAAAGAGCCAGGAAGGACCGTGACATAGTTCCCAAGGTCACAGCTGCAGGATCCATTCCCTTCATCTAGGCCCCTCCTCCTATTTCTGTCACCACCAAACTACGAATCCATCAGTAGATTAATCTATCTGACGAAGTTATAACCTTCATTGCTTCCCAGAACTCTCATCAGTTGGCAACCAAGCCTTTAGTTCACGAACTTTGGGGGATACATATTTCAAAACCAAACCATAACACAGGGGTACTGCAAGTCCTAAATGAGATTTAAAAAGAAAAAGCCAGTGATCCTCAAAATGTGAGCCCCAGAGCAGCAACATCACTGCTTGAAGCTTGTTTAATTTTTTTTTTTTTAAAGGACCGGAGAGCGCCCGCGGGTCCCGAACCAAGGAACCACCGGAACCACCGGACCAATCGGACCAATCGGCCGGGCGGTCGGGAAGCCAGCCTTGAAGGAAGGAATGGCTGGGCTAAAGCCAGCCCGACTACCTGAAACTTGTTAGAAATGCACCGCTACCACACACTGCTATGGTTTAAATGTGGTATAAGCCTCCTGAAATTGCTTCCCTTCCCTTTCCTTCCCTTCTCCCGCCTTCTTTGCCTTCCTTTCCTTTTCTCCTTTCTTTCCTTTATTTCTTCCAGTGCAGTGTCAGAAATTGAACCCAAAGCTTGTATATTAGGCAAGCATCGTACCATGAGCCATATCCTCAGCCTACAAGTTTAAATTTTATTGCATTTCAGCAGTGATGGAAAGAGAGGCCTATCAAAGAGGTGAGGTCTTGAGAAGAGGTTAATGTGTTTTTTGCTGAAATGGATTGAGTCTCATGACTGAGTGAGTTCTCACTCTCAGAGGACTGACTGGAGGATGCTATAAAGCAAAGCTACCTCTCCTGCCTTCCTCCTCCCCATATGCTCTCCTGCCTTCCCACTTCTCCACACTGATTATGATGCAGGCCTTCATTAAATGTAGTTGCCTGACCTGAACATCCAGCATCCAGAATGGAGAGCTGAATAAACTTTTCTCCATAAATTATCCAGTCTCAGGTACTCTGTCACAGGTACAAAACAGACTAAAACACACACCACTGAACCAGAAACCAACTTATTTTCTATAAAGTCCTCCAAATGGTTTTAATGCCACTAAGGCTTGAGAACAACTGCTGTAGGTAAAGCATCTCACACGAAATTGGCAACAAGATATATGAGAACTCTTGGCATTGTTCTTATTTAGAGCTTCACTCAGTCCTGCCCTTTATAGTTGGATTACCCAGACCCTAGGGAAACCACAGTTCATTCAAGATCATAGTGAATTAGTAACACAGCCAAAGCTAAATCTATATTTACTGCTTCCCAGGAAGGTGCCCTTCCTATCTGTTCTCTTTCTCTCCCTCATAGAAAAAAACTATAATGATCAACCAATGTGTCTTCTTTACAGAAGTTTGTGAAGTAGAGATAACAATTCAAATTAAAGCTAGAACTTATCTTCAACCCTAACCTTCCCTCCCAAGATATCTATAGTTAACTTTTATATGATTTTTCTATACTTTTAAATATGCATAGATATAATTAAGCAGGCAATGTAATATGTATGTCTTGCATATATAAATAATGTGTGTTGTTATTTAGATAATATGTATAATATATTCTTATAGGTAAATATATAGTAACACATATCTAAGATCAACTTGAATAAATGAACTTAAAAGTCAAATACTATTACTATTTATGAGAGGGGAAAAGAAGCACCATTTCTCCTTATTCTTAATTCTTGCTCTCAGAAGCAACTACTTGCTATCTTTTCTGCTATTTCTTATGTTTTTCTCCATTTTTGTAAGTAATATAGTACTCTTTTCTTAATTTTCCCCGCTTTATGTGTTAGTTTTGGCATTCAACTACGGAGGATGAAGGCTTAATCACCGCCTAACTTCTTAACAGCTCACTGTGCAGAGATAACATGTAATATTTACTGACCATCCTTGTGGCCACTCTGTTCTATGTATGTGGATTGATTTATTCTTTCATTAGCTGTGGCTTTAGTGTATCCTTATTGATGAGGACATAGAATCTCAGCTACTTTAAGCAACTTGCTCAAAAGAACATACAACATTGTCCCAAAGTGCATGTGCACAAGCAGACACATTTTGAAATGCTTCCTCTTATGGTGACTCCTTCAACTGTCTCTCATTCTCCCACCGTGAGGCCTCCCAAAGCCATCAAAGTCCTTACTTTAAGGATCTGCAGGTGAGATGGAGTCAGAGTCCAGCAGTCTGAATCTTCATAAGAGCATTTTGGTGATCTGAGTAACTCCTTGCATCTGCCTCACAGAGCAAATAGCAGAGAGATCTAGTATTCACTAAAAATGACACAAAAGCTCAAAGAGAAGACCCACGAACCAAAAAAGTTTATGCAAGATTCAAACTGCCTGTGAAGCTGATTCGTTCCCATTTTTTAACTTTTTAAGGTGTTTCTAAATCTCAAAAATAAAGTATCTGTCTTTCCTTTTAAAGGTTCAAATTTATTTTTATTTTAATTTTTTTATCAGTACCAGGGGTCAAACTCGCTTGCAAGGCAGGTGCTTATGCTGTTGAGCTAAATCCCCAGCCCTAGAAGTTCAAATTTAACCAGGCATGGTGGCACGTGCCTGTAATTACAACACATTGAGAAGCTGAGGCAGAAAGATCACAAGTTGAAGCCTAGCCTGTGCAACTTAGCAAATTTGAGAGACTATCTCAAAGTAAACAATAAAAGACTGGGGATGTGACTCAGTGTGAAGGCCCTGGGTTCAATTCCCAGTACCGGAAAAAAACAAAACAAAGCAAAGCAAAATCTCAAGTGCATTTCTGTTGCTTGCCTCCAGAAATACACTGATGAAAACATGATCACACTAAACAGTCTCAGGTTAAGAATGCTTGCGTTAGAGCAAAAGAGAAGGCACAGAGTTGATGGGAAACTGGGTTTACCCCCTTCACCTAAGTGTGGTCTAAAGGACAATTAGCTTGGAAACCAAAACCAAGAGCAATTGAAAGAAGGGGCTGGGGATTTAGCTCAGCGGCATAAGCGCCTGCCTTCCAAGCAGGCAGTCGTGAGTTCGATCCCTGGTACCGATAAAAAACGAAAAAGACAAAAAAAAAAAAAAAAAAAAAAAAGTGACCACCGCAAGGCCAGGCGGAATTGTGGAATACTACAGTTTGGGAAGTATTTTGGAATGGAAAAGATGCAGTTTTGAGCTGTTACAACTCTTGTGATCTAGCTGACCAAGGAAACCACAGAACAGCTATCATTTCCTCTCTCTTGTGAATCTACTGATTTTTCTTTGAACAGTAAATCAGCTTTGCATGGCCTCATAAAGATGAACTTATTGCTAATCTAGTCTAAGTCAGGTGCTGTGATCACCAGAACAACAGCCCAACAATTAAAGAGTAACACTAAAATCTTCTCTGTTCCCTACATAGTTCTCCTGATACATTATAAGATCCTATTCTAAAAAGGCAATTAATTAGTATTCTGTTTGTTATGACTTAGTTGCTGAAAACAATAAAAACTGTTATTCTCTTATGGTTTCTACAGTTCAGAAATTTGGGGGGCAGGCCACCAAGCAAGAGAGGACAGAATGGCTATGGGTTTTTCTGTTTTTTTTTTTTTTTTTTGGTACTGGGGATCGAGCTCATGACTGTACTCTTGCAAGGCAGACCCTTATGCTGCTGAGCAAAGCAGACAATTAAACAGAACAGAAAAATAAAGGTGCAACAGCAGAAAGTTAACATATCAACAATAAACCAACATATAACAGTTATAACCATTAATGTAAATGGTCTCAATGCACCAATTAAAAGAAACAGACTGGCAGAATGGATCACGAAACAAAATTCAACTATATGCTGTCTACAAGAAATCCATCTAACCCAAAAGGATACTCACACATTGCAAGTCAAAGGATGGAAAACAATACTTGATGCAAAAGGAACCCCCAAAAAAGTGGAGGTAGCTATTCTGTTTGCAGACAATGTGAACTTCAAACCAATAATGATCAGAAGAGATAAAGAAGGCCACTATGTACTGGTTAGGGGAAAACTTCAAGAGGAAGAGATAACTCTCTTAAATATATATGCACCAAATTCCAGAGCACCTAGTTATATAAAACAAGTATTAACAGAAATGAAAAACCAAATTAGCAGTGACACAATTATAACAGGAGACCTTAACACACTATTGATACCAAGGGACAGATCAACTAGACAGAAAATCAGCAAAGAAATAACAGAACTGAATCGCACCTGTGAACAAATGGACTTGATAGACATATACAGAGTGTTCCATCCAACAGCATCAGAATACAGATTCTTCTCAGCAGTACATGCGTCATTCTCTAAAATAGACCATATATTAGTTCACAGAACATACTTAAATAAATGCAAAAGAGCTGAAATTATCCCTTGCATGTTATCGGATCATAGTACCATGAAATTAGAAATTAATGATAAAAGATACGGCAAAAATCCCACAAACACATGGAAACTAAATAACACACTCTTGAGTAATCAGTGGGTCACAAGGGAAATTAAAGAAGAAATTAAACAACACCTACAAGCAAACGAAAATACAAATACAACTTACCAGAATCTGTGGGATGCAATAAAAGCTGCCCTCAGAGGACAATTCATTGCACTGAGTTCCCACATCAGGAAAACAGAATGAATACAAATAAATAACCTGATGTTACACCTCAAACATCTAGAAAAAGAAGAGCAAGTTAAGCCCAAAGCCAAAAGAAAGGAGGAAATTATAAAAATTGAGCAGAAATCAATGCAATAGTGACTAAGAAAACAATCCAAAGAATCAGAGTTGGTTCTTTGAAAGAATAAAATTGATAAGCCCCTAGCCAACCTTATTTTAAAAAGGGAAGAAAAAAGCTCAAATTCATGCAATAAGGAATGAAAAAGGTGAAGTCACTACAGAATGTAGAAATACCGAAGATCATCAACACTTATTTCAAAAACCTCTACTCTCATAGGTTTGATAACACAGAAGAAATAGACAGGTTCCTAGAAACATATGAAGTACTAAAGCTAGGTCAAGAAGATGTAAAACTTCTTGAATAACTCAATTTCTATTAATGAAATTGAAAATGTAATTAAGTCCTTACCCTACAAAGAAGAGCCCAGTTCCAGATGGATTCACTGCAGAATTCTACAAGAAATACAAAGAAGACTTAATGCTGACACTCCTCAAACTCTTCAATGAAATTGAAAGGGAAGCAATCCTTCCTAAGTCATTCCTGGAAGCAAATATTACTCTAGTACCAAAACCTGAGAAAGACTCAACTAAAAAAGAGAACTACAGGCCAATCTCCCTAATGAACACAGATGCAAAAATCCTCAATAAAATATTAGCAAATAGAATGCAGCAAATCAAACAGAAGATTATACACCATGACCAAGTGGGATTCTTCCCGGCATGAAGGGATGCTTTAACATACATAAATCAATAAATGTAATCCACCATATCAATAAAGCCAAAAGTAAGAATCAAATTATCATTTCTATAGATGCTGAAAAAGCTTTTGATAATGTCCAACATTCATTTATGATAAGAAACTTACAGAAAATTGGAATAGATGGTCTTTACCTCAATATAATAAAGGTCATCTATGACAAACCAACAGCCAGTATCATACTAAAGGCCAAAAGTTGAAGGCCTTTATTTTAAAATCAGGCACAAGACAAGGATGTCCCTTATCACTGCTCCTATTTAATATAGTACTGGAAATACTAGCTGGAACAATTAAACAAGAGAGAGAAATAAAGGGGTAAAGGTAGGGAAAAAAAGAAGTTAAATAATCTTTATTTGAGGATGACATGATACTCTACATAGAAGACCCCCAAAACTGCATTGAAAGACCCCTAGATATAATAAATAAATTCAGCAATATAGCTGGATACAAAATCAATACTCAAAAATCAATAGCATTCCTATACACTAACAACAAAATCACTGAGAGAGAAATGAGAAGCTACACCCTTCACAACAGCATCTAAAAAAATGAAAGACTTAGGAATTAATCTCACAAAAGAAGTAAAAGATCTACACAGGGGAAATTATAATAACCTGAAAAAAGAAATTGAAGAGGATCTTAGAAAATGGAAAGACATCCCTTGCTCATGGATAGGAAGAGTAAATATTTGAAAATGGCCATTCTCCCAAAACTGTTATACAGATTCAATGCAACCCCAATAAAAAATACCATCAACATACCTCATATCTTGAGAAATCATTCCTAAAATTCATCTGGAGTGAGAAGAGACCTAGAAGAGCAAAGACAGTTCTAAGCAGCAAAGGCAAGGCAGGAGGCATCACAATCCCTGACTTGAAGTTATACTACAAAGCTACTGTAGTAAACTCAACATGGTACTGGAGTCAAAACAGAGCTGAAGATCAATGGAATAGATTAGAAGATGCAACCACAACTACAAACACACTCAACCACCTTATCTTTGATAAAGGGGCCAAACAGATTCACTGGAAGAACGACAGTCCCTTTAATAAATGGTGCTGGAAAAACTGGCTCTCCATATGCTGAAAACTAAAGCTAGACCCATGCCTATCACCATGTACTAAATTAAAATCTAAATGGATCAAAGATCTGAATATTAAAACAGAAACACTAAATCTATTGGAAGACAAATAGGGTAAAAACCTTGAAGACACAGGAGTAGGTAGAGATCATGAACAGAAATCACACCGCACGGAAAACACTTCCCAGAATGAATAACTGGGACCACCTCTTATTAAAAGTTTCTTTATGTCAAAAGAAATCTCCAGCATAGTGAAAAGAAAACCCACAAACTGGGAAAACAATCTTAGCAAACCATCCCTCAGACAAAGGACGTCTGTCTAAAACATATAAAGAATTAAAAAAAAAATCAGACCCCCGAAATTCAAAGACCCAATCCAAAAATGGGTATCTGAGATGAATACACAATTCTCAGATGAAGAAATACAAATGGCAAATAAATACATGAAAAAATGCTCATCATCATTGGTCATTAGAGAAATGCAAATTAAAACCACACTGAGATACCATCTCACTCCTGAAAGAATGGCCAGGATCAAGAAAACCAACAACAACAAATGCTGGAGAGGCTGTGGGGAAAAAGGAACTCTCCTGCACTGTTTGTGGGAGTATAGACTGGTACAACTATTGTGAAGGTCTGTCTGGAGATTTCTCAAAAAGCTGGGATTGGAAGTCCCATTTTACCCAGCTATTCCACTTCTAAGCATATTCCCAGAAGAACTGAAAACATCATACCACAGTGATACATATGTACCCATGTTTATAGCAGCACAATTTGTAATAGTCAGATTTTGGAAACAACCTAAGTGTCCATCAACTGAGGAATGGATAAAAAAGTTGTGGTATTTCTACACAATGGAGTACTATTTAGCTATAGAGAAGGATCACATTGAGATATTTATAAATAAATGGGTGCAGCTTGAGACCATACTCATAAGTGAAATAAATCAAACTCACATGTATGAATACCGAATATTCCCTAGTGTAAGAAATGATAAGAATACATAAAAGTATGTGGTATT